TCAGTTCAAGAGTAGGGTGACTAGGGGTATCTCACCGAAATGCAGCAATCTAAGAACAGTGCTATCAGACAGTCTAAGAGTAGGGTGACTAGGGGTATCTCACCGAAATGAAGCAATATTAGAACAGTGTTATCAGACAGTCTAAGAGTAGGGTGACTAGGGGTATCTCACTGAAATGGAGCAATATTAGAACAGTGCTATCAGACAGTCTAAGAGTAGGGCGACTAGGGGTATCTCACCGAAATGCAGCAATCTAAGAACAGTCTAAGAGTAGGGTGACTAGGCGTATCTCACCGAAATGAAGCAATATTAGAAGAAAGTAAGCAACAGACAGTCTAAGAGTAGGGCGACTAGGGGTATCTCACCGAAATGCAGCAATCTAAGAACCAGTCTAAGAGTAGGGCGACTAGGGGTATCTCACCGAAATGCAGCAATCTAGGAACAGTGCTATCAGACAGTCTAAGAGTAGGGTGCCTAGGGGTATCTCACCGAAATGCAGCAATCTAAGAACAGTGTTACCAGACAGTCTAAGAGTAGGGCGACTAGGGGTATCTCACCGAAATGCAGCAATCTAAGAACAGTGTTATCAGACCGTCTAAGAGTAGGTCGACTAGGGGTATCTCACCGAAATGCAGCAATCTAAGAACAGTGCTATCAGACAGTCTAAGAGTAGGGTGACTAGGGGTATCTCACTGAAATGAAGCAATATTAGAACAGTGTTATCAGACAGTCTAAGAGTAGGGTGACTAGGGGTATCTCACCGAAATGAAGCAATATTAGAACAGTGTTATCAGACAGTCTAAGAATAGGGTGACTAGGGGTATCTCACTGAAATGGAGCAATATTAGAACAGTGCTATCAGACAGTCTAAGAGTAGGGCGACTAGGGGTATCTCACCGAAATGCAGCAATCTAAGAACAATGCTATCAGACAGTCTAAGAGTAGGGCGACTAGGGGTATCTAACCGAAATGCAGCAATCTAAGAACAGTGTTATCAGACAGTCTAAGAGTAGGGTGACTAGGCGTATCTCACCGAAATGAAGCAATATTAGAACAGTGCTATCAGACAGTCTAAGAGTAGGGCGACTAGGGGTATCTCACCGAAATGCAGCAATCTAAGAACAATGCTATCAGACAGTCTAAGAGTAGGGCGACTAGGGGTATCTCACCGAAATGCAGCAATCTAAGAACAGTGCTATCAGATAGTCTAAGAGTAGGGCGACTAGGGGTATCTCACCGAAATGCAGCAATCTAAGAACAGTGTTATCAGACAGTCTAAGAGTAGGGTGCCTAGGGGTATCTCACCGAAATGCAGCAATCTAAGAACAGTGTTATCGGACAGTCTAAGAGTAGGGCGACTAGGGGTATCTCACCGAAATGCAGCAATCTAAGAACAGTGCTATCAGACAGTCTAAGAGTAGGGTGACTAGGGGTATCTCACCGAAATGCAGCAATCTAAGAACAGTGTTATCAGACAGTCTAAGAGTAGGGTGACTAGGGGTATCTCACCGAAATGCAGCAATCTAAGAACATTATCAGTCAGTTCAAGAGTAGGGTGACTAGGGGTATCTCACCGAAATGCAGCAATCTAAGAACAGTGCTATCAGACAGTCTAAGAGTAGGGTGACTAGGGGTATCTCACTGAAATGAAGCAATATTAGAACAGTGTTATCAGACAGTCTAAGAGTAGGGTGACTAGGGGTATCTCACCGAAATGAAGCAGTATTAGAACAGTGTTATCAGACAGTCTAAGAGTAGGGTGACTAGGGGTATCTCACTGAAATGGAGCAATATTAGAACAGTGCTATTAGACAGTCTAAGAGTAGGGTGACTAGGGGTATCTCACCAAAATGAAGCAATATTAGAACAGTGTTATCAGTCAGTTCAAGAGTATATCAGACAGATATGATGATTCTTTTGCTGCTAGGGTGACTGGGGGCAAAATTATCAATATCAAATATTGATCGAGCTATTCTGGAGAAGAATTTCAATAACATTTATTCCCTGCCCATAGTTGTCGGTGTAGTCACTACTGACTTAATTACCCCTAGCATAATATTAATTATATATCCTAACAGACATGTATACTATACTTGGGAAATAGACATTATTGAGCTAATTGTAGCCATTTTTATATATATATATATATATTATATATATTTATTTGTGGTGTCAGGGTATTGATATCGGCGGACATCTTGTGCTATGATAGAAACTAAAAGTGTATATTCTGAGTCACTCTGAACAGACCAGACTCCATTTTGTTATTTCAAGTTAACAAAGAAGACACTAGATTTCTTTCTGTAAGACTGGCCTCTTTGCCAGAGCTAAGGAATGCATAGTATAAACAAGTGATAAGAAGAATATAATCAAATCTAAACCCAGACAATTGTGACAGAGAAGATTAAATAATAAAATTTAACTGTCGATATATATATAAGGTACCATTGTATGGAAAAGGGTAAACTTAGTTCATGATCTGTCATATCAGAAATTATGGCAGGAATTGCAGACGCTAAGTCTGGACAAAACTTTAAGAAACCCTTTGAAATCTGAATTATGACCACTATCTAGATAGGCCAAAATGATGTCAAAATAGCCACCAGGAAAAGTTAACTCTTTCCTGGATAGGTATGTTTAGTGGGACAAGACTGCCCTCTATAGACCAAATAACTAATTTGCGATCTGGAAGATAACCACACCTCTAGTGCTTCTATTGGGTTATCAACTGATGACGTACAGAGAGTCTGGCCCTTTAAAAGTTAAGACAAAGGGAAGACAGGGAGGCAGATCCAAGAGATATGCAAAGAAAAAGAGGAGAGAGGAATTGGAAGTTTGGGGGACTCCAACCTCCATGCAGAGAGACATCCAAATAAGTTCCTGAGACTACCAATCGGATGAAATATCTACTCAACTGGTAATTATACTGGTTTCATTTAATTAATTAAAATGTATTAATAGCATTATATATGACTAGGATATAGCACGGTCAGATTTCCATATTAAGAAATCTTAGTTAACTAAGAATATATAGTTATAACCATTCCATTCTGCAGGTGGAATTAAGAATAATTATATATTGATGTGATATTATCACGTGTTAGCATACCGCTGTTTTTATCCAGGTGTATTGATTTGCTCTAAATTAAGATAGATATCTTTTAGACAAATTAAAAATCTGCTTATATAATGTGGTAAATTCTCTTATTGGATGATTTCAGGAAACGACTAATGAACTGGGTTAAATGTTATTTTATTTAAAAATACATAAGAATAGATCTTAACTACCTAGGAGATCTAGCCAGCATTGAAAGGGTTATTCTAACTGTCTGCTAAACTTTACGACCTTACGCTGCACTCTGAGGAATTCTGTTCTTCGCTGTGAAAAGTTTCACTATGTCTGTGTAAGCATAGTCATAAATTATAAAGTCTT